GAAAATGCTAGGTCCTGTTATGTGACTTCCAGTTTTGTGTTGAAGCAATGAGGTCATTGCCTCATTCTAAGTGTGGGGGAGTCTATTTGGATTTTACATGCTTATGTGGTGGACCGGTCTAGTTTTAGGATTTTGTATTGTTGAGCATATGATATTGGTGGATAATATGAATTGTTGATGAATGTTTGATGAAATTGGGAAGTTGTGATGATGAACGTGTGGTCATTGCCTCGGTATTTGCTTGATTGCTTTGAGTGACATTTATTTACCTTGTGAGGTTTTGAGCCTTATTCTTTTCTTGTGAGATATTGGTCATATTCTTGAATGATTAGAACTTGCCTTGAGTTTGTTTGAAAGGAATCGATTGAGTTTGAAATTGCGAATATGATTGAGGCATTTTGTTGATTAGCTCTCTTTCTGCCTTGTTCTTTGGCCCTCAAATTTATTCCACTAGTAGCCCTTTGAGCTTAAAATCTTTTCTTGTCAACCTATTGAATGATTTGTGTGATGATTGGTGGCATTTTTTAATATGGTGGAAATTTGAGTTGCATTTTATTTGCTTGACCTGTTGAAAAGAAAAAAAAAAAAAAAACATGAGAGCTCACAGGACGAATTGAATGGATTCTGCTCCTCTTACTAGTCGATTCATGTTGGCGAGTGATGAGCATTTGGAAACTACTGTAGGACACTTAGATGACCTTCAATGTTCGCACCTACAGAATGTTGTCCTTTTAGTTCGATCTTGTTCGGAAAAAGTTACTCCTAAAATAAAAAATAAAGTGAAATAAAAAAAGTACTAAACCAGACGTTTACCTGCTTTGCGGGCTCAAAATGATACCACTTTAAAAAGAGAATAAAAAATCCAAAAAATTGGTCAAGTTATTTTGCAATTCGATGATAGAGCAATTAGATGTCGTTTGTGGAAGTTGTTGGGGGATGGTATATGTTTTGTCTTGTTGAATTGGGTGAATAGCGGACATTCGAGTATTCTATTACTCGAAAAACTTTGATTGACTATTTGAGCTTATTATCCACATATATATCCGTACCTTTTCCTTAGCCCACATTACAACCCGTGAAGTCCTCTTGATTCGTATATTTTGAGCTTTGATCATTTTCGAGTAAATTAGACTGTTGGCAAGCATATGTTGAAACTTGAATATTGACCAATTTTGAGTGTACCTATCATATATTCATGAAAGAAATGAGTGAGGCATATATGATG